CGGGGCTGGGGAAGAGGGACGGTCTGGGGGCGTGGAGGGCAGGCTGCCATCCCGTGACTCTCTGCTCTCTGCTCCTTGGAGATTCTCCAGCCCCAGGTTTGTATCACAGAACCAGAGGCATTCTTGAGCAAGAAAAAAACTCTCCCATCCCTGGAAAGAAAACACCTAATTCTTGGTCACAAGGTTGGGGCCCAGGCCCCTACCGTGACCCTCTCAGAGACCCCATTCCAGCCTTGAAGCTTTGAGAGTTGAGGAAGCTGAATTTGAACACACACCCCTTTTCCAAAACATACTCTAAATGTGTAACCTTAAGCAAGTGACTTTATCCCCTCTAAGCCCTGATTTCCTTAAAAGGAACTGCCAGCTGCCTCACAAGACTGCCGTCGGATTAGAAAGACACACGGTGAGGCAGGGAGCGGTCTTAGATGCACAAGCCTGCACAGCCCCCTCCTGAGTGCGGGTGGGGCCTGGGCGTAGGAGGGGCCCGCACTCCTGTGACGGCCGTTACCACCTGTAAGACTGTCCAGCGGACGGGGGAGGACTCTCCACAGGCTTTGAAGAATGAGCTGTCCTGCCAGAAGCAGCAGGCGGCCCCCGGAGCTAAGTGCCACCCGATCCAACAATCAGCAAGAAAACAGGACTTGACTCTTCCCGCCGCAGGACACTGCACTCTGCCCACAGCCTGAAGGAGCGTGGACGCCCAGCCTCGGGGGAGATCACAGCCCTGCAGGTGCCTGGCCTTCCGAGGAGAGGGGAGCGCACCCTGAGCAAGGAGCGGTGAGCTGGGTCCTCGCCTACAGGCACAGAGAGACCAGAGATGGCTGTTGCTTAAGCTGCTAGGAACGTGGCGAGGTGTTACACAGGAATTGAAAACCAGTGGAATAATCTGCGTTTGGACCAAACTGCTGTCTGAGTAGGCCAAAGCCGTGGAGCCCGGGCAATCGCACTCGGTCCCGCCTGATACAGATGTGAGGTGCCTGGCGCGTACTAAGTGTTCAACAAACCCCATTGTCATCATTCCCCGGCTCCGCTGGAGAACGCCTGGCTCTTCAATGGCTGACGACCTCCTTTTTCCTAGCACTGGCTCTGACAGCTGCCCGCTGCCCCAGGCCCTCCTTCCCCAGAGCCGTCAGATGAGAGCCTCCGGGGCCCATTCCCGGGCCTTCTGAGAGGCCCAGGCAGCTCCTGAGCACACTGCGTCTCCTGCCCCAGACAGCAAAACACCGCCCCAACAGACACAGAAAACAGCGCTGGGGCAGAGGCAGCCGCTGCCCACCAGCCCCATGCCAGAGGGCGAGGGCTGCTGCCTGAGACTGGGCAGGGCTACGGGCTCCAGCCTCTGGACTCCACCCCTGCCCTCCGGGGGCCTGGGAGCCCCACCGCTGGAACGCTGTGCTTCTCGCACCCACCGGACCCTGCGGTGGTGCAAAGGTTCCCTGTTACATAAAAAATGCAAATCGCTCTTTTCTAACCAGCAGGCCGGTCCCGGTGCCTGCCGCTGCTGACGCACAGAAACCAGAAAAGCAGTTCGGCCCTCGGGGACTGGGACACGGGACCGGTGAGTTTCGGCTGGGTCTGCAGGGAAGCTGACGGCGTCAGAAAAGGTCTGGAAAAGACCACCCGAGGAGAGAGAGAGGCTGTGGCTCCCACTTCCTGCACCGCCTGCTGGTGTCTGGTTTCATACACCATCTACCCTACTCACTCAGAATCCCTAGCCGGCAAGCACACATCAATAAAGCTGGGAGGGGTGAGATCTCTGTGGGGGACCCCCAATGACCCTGGAACTCAGCTAGAGAAACTGAGTTTTATTGACATTCAGATGTCAAGTAATAGGCAACACAAATGACTATTTCTGGGTGAATCCCCCTGTGATAGGGGTTACTGTACTTCCTTTATAGGTAAGGACTCGGGGGCTCAGCAGCTTACCCGGGTCACAGGGGCAGAACTGGGATTTGGACCCAGGTGGACAGATGCCACAGCCCATGTTCTTAGCCCCTGAGCCAAACAACCAGGCACTTAATCATCCCTGGCCCTGCGTTCACCGAAGCTGGAAAGGAACAATATTTGGGAATGGACTTGGATTCGCCCGAGAGACACCCTTCCTACAGGAGGGGCCCGGACACCCATCCCACAGTGTGACCTGCCCTCCGCGGAGGCTCACGTGGGCCTCTGCTGTGGTCCTGGGCTGAGGCTCAGACGTGCCCCGGTACCAGGCAGCTTTGCTTGGCTGGCAGTGCCCAGGGGAGACATGGCAGGGGTTTGGGTCCTACCGCGGGCAGGCACAGGAGCTCCTAGAAGGTAGCAGGGACCTTCCTAAGAGCAGAGAGGGAGGGAACTGGCCCTAGCAGCTCATTCTGAGACCCCTGGAGTTCTCACCCTACCAACGCCTCTGCCTGCCCTACTGTTCCCTGCCCACCAGCAGGTGTCACTCAGGCTGTGGGCAGAGTGCAGTGTCTTGTGCGTACCCCATAGCCTCCTCCTGGGGCCCAGTCAGTGTGGACCTTGAGGTGCAGGGAGCAGGACTTGACCCTCATTCACTGGAGACTGAAGTACAGAAAATACCGGAGAGCCATTCTCTGCAGCTCTCCCTCCTCCCCCTTCCTCCTCCTCCTCCCCATCTTCCTTCTCTCCTCCTCCTCCTTTTCTCCTTGCCCCCTCTCTTCCCCCACCTCCTCTTTCTTTCAGAGCCTGGAGAGCTGGACCTGCTTGAGGGAAAGAGATGGACCCACAATTTCAAGCTCACCTATATTGTTTTCTCTTCCCTCTGTTCAGGCGACTCCCCCTCCTCACTCCTTCCCACCAAAACCCGCATCCTCCCTCTGGTGCTCAGGAGATCAGGAACAGGGCCCAGGCAGGCCCTCCTCAGACCGGAAGACCATGTGTCCTGCGAGGGAATGGGCACAAGGCTGATGCCAGAACCACATCCGCCAAGATCGCAAATGCATCCCTAGGCACCTTTTAGGCAAAAGGTCTGACACCTCTCCTGGAAGAGAGCCAGCAGGAGGGACCAAGCATTACTGCTGCTGTAACCGTTACAGCTACTTATTATGCACCAACTGCGGGCCAAGGAAGTGCGAAGCAGTGTGCTGGGTCCTTCGCAATCCCCTATTCCTGTTAGTTCCTCCAAAGTGTTTGCCCAGGGCCTGCTCCGGCATGCCAGCCACTCTCCCAGCCGAGCACGCGAGCCACCTCGGCAAAGGCGGCTCCTCATTGTCTGCTCTTGGCAGATGGAGGAAACCTGGGCTCGGTCAGACTGGGGAGCAGATTCCATTCCAAGTGTCTGACTCCAAAGCCACGGGGCCGCTGCCTGCTCTCCTCTCCACCGGAGTGAGGGTCCGTGGGTCAGAGTCAGGGAGGGGTAGGAGGTACTCTGGGGCAGGAGGGACGAAGCACACACCTGAGATGCCTTCAGAGGCCGAGTGCTCAGTGTGTTGGCGGCCCCGTGGCCCAGGCCGAGCACCCAGGCCCCGGGGGACACAGAAGACAGCGTGAGGGCTGCGTGTCCCGTGGCTGAAGTGGAGGAGGGAGGACGAGGGGCACGAACTGGCAGAGGTAAAGGAGGGGTGAGCTCTGGGTGGGGAATGGGTTGTTCCCTGGCTGGGAGGTGGGAGGATCCGGAGACAGCTCTGACACAGGAGTGATTGAAGGCTGGAGGGGACTCAGGCACAGGGAGTGGTACCTGCGGGGAGGGGAGGGCGGGCTGTGGCAGCTGTCGGAGGCTGAGGAGGTGAGGCTGGAGCTAACGGGCCATCAGGAGTCTCCCAGAAGAGTAATGGCAAGATGCAAATGGCGCTGGGAGGTGTTCTGACAGCGCGGTGTGTGGGACCACCGGGGAGACATACGGGAAGTTATCAGGGAGCCTGGCACAGGGGGCAGCTCACTCACCACCCTCAATCGCCCCCCCCCATCCTTCTCTCAGCCCCCAGCCCAAGCTCTGTCTCTCCCTCCCCACTGCCTGGAATACAGTGGGGGCCATGAGCGTGGGAAAGGCCCTAAGAGGATGGGGTGGGGGGTTTGGGACAAGGAAAAAGCCAGGACTCAGTCATGCGGGCAGAGAGCATCTCCAGGACCTCACGGTGGGCTGTGCCTGGGCCAGTGCCCCTCTCAGTGGCAGCAGGCAGTGCCCGGGGCAGCCACAGGGTGACGCACCAGGAAGAAGCCCCTCCATCTCCACTGCACCCCTCACGGCCTGGGGGCCTTCCCCTCACACGGGAGAACCGGGCAGAGACCAGCTCTGAGATGGAGAAGTTACCCCGGAGCCTGTGTGAGGACTTGGGGTAGGAGCCCATAAAAACTCTCCCCGCCCCTGCTGGACTCTAATTACACACTCCATGTTACAGTCCTTTGGCCTAAGGTTTTGTACCCAAGTTATTGTTTTTTTAACGGTCCCATTAAGACTGTCATCAGCAGCCGCACCGCTGACTGAGGGACCCGCTGCGGTTCTCCAGGAGTCAGTTCAGTTCGGCTGCTGCAGGTGGAGAAAGGCCCTGGCACCGGGTCCGAGGCGGTGGGGAGGGGGACGGAGGGGGCCGCAGAGAGGACAGGAGGCTGGGGGCAGGGGCTGCAGCCTGGGAGGCTGGGCAGGTCTCTCACTTCTAGGTTTGGGGAGGAGTTGCTCAGAAATGACCTGCTCCAAGCCCCGGTATAGCCTGCCGTTCCCTCCCTCCCCCCTCTGCCCGGGACCCCTGCTCCTGGGTCCTCACGCCTCCTCCAGCCACAGCCCAGAGCGCAAACTTTCAGAAACGCGACCCCAGCCCGGCTTCCACCCGCTCGCCACCGCGCTGGGCAGGGGCTCTGGCAGGACAGGGGGGAGGCGGGAGGAGGGGGCATCCCGAGGCGAGGCCACGGCCAGGGGCCACGGGCTCCGGGTCCCTGGATGGGACAGGGGTCCCTGGCGGGACGGGGAGGGGGGTGGACGAGGGAGGGGCCTGGGCGGGACGGGGATCCCTGGGCGGGACAGGGGTCCCTGGCGGGACGGGGGCCGGCGGCGGGAGGCTCACCTGCAGGACACGGTGATCTCCACCTTGGTGGCTGGGATGCTGCCCGCCAAGGAGTCGAACTCGCTCAGCGACGTCATGTCCTCGGGCTGCTCCATTGCCCCCCACCCCCTTCCCCCGGCCCCAATTAGTCAGTCCCTGCGCGCTCCACGCTCCTGGGGAGCCACCGAACCCTGGGCTCCCCAACTACGGCGCCACGGGAGCCGGAGCCGGAGCCGGACCGAGGCTGGCAGCCGCGGAGGAGCGGAGCGCGGAGAGGGGGCGTGGGCAGTGAGAGGGGAGGGCGGGGGAGCGGGGGCTGCGCACCCTGCAGGGGTGAGGGGGCCACGGCGAAGAGGCGGGGGCACAGCGGGGAGGGGTGCGGTGCCGGAGAACCGGGCGCAGCAGGGCGAGGCGCAGGGCGCGGGGCGCGGGGCGCGGGGCGTGGGGCCGGGCGGGGCGCGCGCAGCGTGGGGCGGGGGCAGAGGGGGTGCAGGGGGCAGAGGGGGTGCAGGGGGGAGAGGGGTGCAGGGGGCAGAGGGAGTGCAGGGGCAGAGGGGTGCAGGGGGCAGAAGGGTACAGGGGGAGAGGGGCGCGCGGTGGATGGAGCCGGGAAGCGGAGCCGCCGCCTCTGGCTGGGTGCGGCGCGGGCGGCGGCGGGGCTGGGGACGCGGCTCCGGCTCCGGCTCCGGCTGCGGGAAAATCAAATCTGCCCCAGCCGCCGCCCCCCGCCCCCCGCCCCCCGCGGCCGGCGGGCGGGAGCGGAGGGGGCGCCCGCAGGGGCGGGGCGGGGCCGGGGCGGGGTCTGCGCCGGGGCTGTGGGGTGAGCGCGGCCGTGCGCGCGGGGCGGGCGTGGGGCCGCGGCTCCGGATGCCGGGCGTGGGGGGGGGGGGGGTAGGGGGACGGCCCAGAGGGTCCGGGGATGCACGGCTCCATCGCGCGGCCCCACTTCCACCCCCCTGGGGCTGCACCCCCGGGCAGGGGAGGCGGTGAACCAGGGCACCTGTTTGAGGAGGGTCTAAGGAGGCGCGGGGCGGGGGAGTTCTCCGCTGAGGGTCCCTCACCGCGGAGGGGCTGGTCTCCGTCCCAAAAACGGGCTCCACCTCTCCGGGGGAGGGTACAGGGGTGCCCCAGAGCCCGGGAAGCCGCCTGGTTTTCTGGTGAGGGCGGTAGTCCTAGGAGGGGTCGGTGCCCGGCTGTCCCCCTCGCCCTCCATTTCCCACCCCCACCCCCCGCTGCCAGCGCCCTCCCCGCCCCTGGCCCGTCGTGACTACAGGCTGAGCCACCCCGGTCTCACCAGATTGAGGGTGCCCCCGCCTCCCAAGGCTTCTAGGCCCCCAGCTCTGCGGAGGCGCCTCCTGTGGGCCGCTCTGATTCCTGCCCCGGGAGCGGGAGCGCGGGGGGCGCGGAGGCTGCTCTCAGCGGGTCCCCCTCCCCGCTCCCCCTGCCCGGCTCCCCCTGCCCAGTTCCCCTGCCCGGCCTGGGCGCAGCGCTGTGGCCATGCCCGGGCTGAGCTCCTGGACTGTCTCCAGAAAAAGCCCTCCAGCCCCTCCTCAGCGGGCCTGGGCTTGGCAGCGATGGAGGCCTCCTCCGCGCCCACCGTGGATGGAGCGCCTGGCCCCATGCCCTTGGTGCCGGGCAGCTCTGGGGAGCCCAGGAGCCCGGGCTGGACCGGAAAGGCCACGGCCTCTGGGTCACGGCGTTAGCAGCAGGGCCTTCACCGGTCCGTGGAGATTCTGTTTGAAGTCAGTGCCCCGAACATCAGATACAAAGTCAAACATACATCTAAGAAGGCATTCCTCCGCCTGGGCTAAGTGTTTTCCTTGTCCCATGCCACGGCGTTGGCACGGCGTTGCTGGACTCAGTTCAGCCACCTGGACTCACAGCCGGGGGCAGAGGCCAGGCATTCCAGGGCAGTGGGCACAGCTGGCGGGAAGGCCCTGCTGCAGTTTGGGCCCAAGGCCCTCTCTGCAAGGGGAATGATTGGGGCTCCTTTCCTGAGGGATACAAACTGGGCTTGGAACCTCTAGTCCACACCTTTATCCCACCCCCCGTCCCAGACCAAACATCTCGCGGTATGTGTCATGCGTTCCCCCACTAGTGTTCACTGATAGCTGCCGTGTTCCTGGCCTGGGCCAGGGCCACTGGGAAACTCCCTTCAGAACAATGATAACCACACTAGACAGGGGTGGGCAAAAGTAGGTTTACAGTTGTAATACCAAAAAATATGATAATTAATAAATAATACAAGAATAAATTCTGTGTCTCCATACTCACAACTGTAAACCTACTTTTGTCCACCCCTGTATTTTCAAAGAGCCTACTCTGGGCCAGACACTATATTTAATTTTTTTTTTTAAAGATATTATTCACAATCAACCAAAGGACTTGAATGCATGCATATAAGCCTAACCAATGGACACAGATAACAGGGGGGTGAGGGCATGAGTGGGTAGGGGGAAATGGAAGAGGGTAATGGGTGGATAAGGCAAATAAAATAAAAATCTAAAAAAAGATTATTATTTACATACCATAAAATTCACTATTTTAAAGTGTATAGTTTGGGCTGGCTGGCATGGCTCAGTGGTTGAGCATTGACCTATGAACCAGGAGGTCACCATTCGATTCCCAATCAGGGCACATGCCCAGGTTGCAGGCTTAATGCCCAGTGTGCAGGAGGCAGCCGATCAATAATTCTCTCTCATCATTGATGTTTCCATCTTTCTCTTCCTCTCCCTTCCTTTGAAATTATATATATATATATATATATATATATATATATATATATATATCCTAAAATATAAAAACCCAGGGTCCATAACGACCAACCAAAGGCTCGATGAAACATCGAAAGTCAGTCCTGTAGTCAGTTCTGGGTTGCCATGGTGACCCAGCACTGACTGCCAAGGGGGCTGCGGATCAGGCCTGGAGAGAGGCAAGGTCTGATCCGCAGCCTCTGTGGCAGCTATTGATCAGCTGTTGCCTTTTTCTTTCTCTCTGGGTTTCCCCAGCAGCCGGCTTCTGTTTCTCTCTGGGCCTCTGAGAGGGCTGCTGATCAGCCTCGCCTCTCTAATCAGGTCCAGAGATAGGCCCGGAGACGCTGACTGGCATAGAAACTGACCAATCAGAACCAAATTCACCAGCAGGGGAGGACAGTTGGGGGTGAAATCAGGCTGGCAGGGGCGGGCTATTATTGGGGGCCAGATCAGGACTGTAGGGGAGGGCCATTGCAACGAGATCAGGCTGACAGGAAAGGGCAGTTGGGGGCAAACAGGCTGGCAGGGGAGGGCAATTGGAGGCAACCAGACCGGCAGGGGAGGACCATTGGGGGTGAGAGCAGGCCAGCAGGAGAGGGCCGTTAGGGGTAATCAGGAAGGCAGGCAGGCAGAGAGGTTAGGGGCAATCAGGCAGGCAGGAAGAGGCAGTTAGGGACTATCAGGCCAGCAGGCAGGTGAGCTGTTAGGAACCAGTGGTCCAAGATTGTGAGAGGGATGTCCGATTGGAAAGGGTGCAGGCTGGGCTGAGGAAACTCCCTCTTCGTGCATGAATTTCGTGCACCAGCCACTAGTATATTAATAAAATAAAGTGTGCATACGGTTTGGTGGGTTTTTATGTACCATTAAGTGTGCAGTATTATTACCTACATTTAATAACTAAGGCAGACAGTGCCCAGAGAGGCTAAGCAGCTTGACCATGACCACCCACCTGGGTACTTGGCAGAGTGGGAATTTGAACTCAGGCCATTGAGACCAAAGCTGGACTCTGAACAGGAGACTTGAGTGCCTCTTTGGATGGGGCCAGGTAATGGAGGTCTTAAAAGCCAACTATGACATTAGCCCTGTTGGGGAGGACAACAGGGAGCCACTGCAGGCTGTTCAGCAGGAAAGTGGCAAAGCTAAAGTTCTACCCCACAACCTCATAAGGGACCGATCTGGAGTAACAGCCCCGGGGTCTCTTTCTAGAAAGATTCTGACTCTCCCTCTAGTCCCTCTCATCATTGCATTCCCAACTGCTGGCTCTTTGGTGAAAAGTGTATTAGGTGCCTGCTCTGTGCCAGGCACCATCCTAGACTCAGAGAATAAAGACGGAAAAGAGTTCTCTGTGGGGGCCCAGGACATGCATGCAGATCAGCCTCCTGCGGCGCGCGGAGAGCCGTCGAGGCGGTAAGGGCCCTCAGAATAGAGACGCGTGACCAATGCCTCCCCAGGAGTGGGGGCAGCGAGTGTCAGGGAAACTACAAAAAGGCGGGGATTCTGAGGAGGGCCTGGAGGAGGATGTCTGTTTGGTTCCCCAGGAAGCAGGCCCTGAGAGAAAGATTTGAGTGTGAGCAGTTTATTGGGGAGACTAAGGACATGCTATGTGGGGGATGGGGAGGGGAGACGGGGAAGGCAGCCAGTGAGGTGGTTTAAGAGCTAAGCAGGGCCGTGGCCCACCCGCCACGTGCCCAGCACTGTCCCTCTGATTAAGAACCGGGAGCACGGAATGGCCCGTGCCCAGAAGATCTGGAATCACCAGCATCAGCATTTTGCCTTCGCCTCCAAGATGCAAACACACGCTCATCTGACCTGACCGCGGCGTTAATGACGCTGAGCGATTTGGAGAGGCCGCTGTCTGCATCGCTAAGGAGAGGAAAAGCATCAGGGCTTGGGAGCAGCTGCCGCTCCCGCCAGGGTGCCCTGTGCACGGCCCTCGGGTCCTGTTTGAGGCTGGGGACGGCAGGTGAAAGGGGACAGAAGAGAGGAAGGCATGTGGATGGGACGGGGCCATTGGGGCCGCCCATCCTGCACCTTGGAACAAACGAGAAGAAGGTGTTGTCTACTCGGTAAATGCAACTTGTGGGGCAGAGAGCAGGCCGGAACGGAGCTGCCCTGGCCCCCCAGGCAGGTGTCCTTGTGCTGTGAGCACCCTGCAGACCACACATGGCAGCCCTGGAGAGAAGGCAAGACAGAGGGCATGGGGAACCTGAAACCGCCACGACAGGGAGGAAGCGGCGAGATGCAGTGTCTGATTCCACCCATTAACAGAAACGCTAGAAGGGGTTTGGTTGGGGGCCATCTAGGTTAACCCCGTCCTCTTACTAAAAAGCTTCGAGTGATGCACTCAAGATCACCTGACTCTTCCCTTGATAAAAACTCCGCTAACAGCGGCAGGTCAGTGCCCAGTGAGCACTGACAGGTGCCGGAGAAGCCATGAGCTGTTGGGCCCCATTCCTCCTGGAGGGGCAGTCTCACTGCCAGGTGCCCCACCATCCACTGGAACCCCACACTGCA